TTCTCTCCATCAGGATCCTCAAACTGGAGCTGCTGTTCAGCACAGACCAAAGAACCGTCTGTTTCCTCCACAGTCTGCTGGGTCTCTGTCTGGACGGCGCCTGAAGAGGCAGACGAGTCTTTATCCAAAGCAGAGGAAGAATCCAGGGAAGCAGAGAAAGACTCCTTTTCTTCTTCTTCTTCTTCTTCTCTCTCTGGATCAGCCTCAGCTCTTTGACCTCCGGTAGATTTTTTCACTGCCAAAGAGGAAAACCTCAGTGATCTTTGGATTTGAACCCTAACCTCAGTGTGTCTTTATCCAAAGCGGAGGAAGAACCAGAGAAGAGTTTAGTAGTAGCAGTGCTTTACATTTACAAGGAATTAATTTGCTTTGACTATAAAGTGGGACAATAAAACACTCTGGATCCAATAGATAAAGTGAGTAAATCATTATTATGCATTATTCACTGATAAAACTCCCAAAGAAACACAAAATAAGTATAAACATTCAATAACTGTTGAATCAAAATATAATTTAAAAAAAATAACCAAATCACAGAAAATAATTAAAATACTATTATTAAAAAATCCCAATATTAGCAATTAGCAATATTTTAATTTATTATTTTTAATGTGAAATTCACTTCTTTTAAACTCTGGCTTCTTACTGCCAATATAACACTAATAATGGGTAAATAATTACATTTTAGAGGCGATAGCTTATTTTACAGCAATGTTATTTATTGTAGTTAATTTGATCTCGGTAACCATGACGGCAAGGGCCAGACACACCTGGATGAATTATTCTGTCCATTAATGAAAGGCAGGAAACAAAGGAGCAGCTGAAGGTCAGGAAGTAGAGGAGCTGGGTATCTAGCCAAAGCTGTTTCTTTAAATGGTGTTAGAGCCTCTTAGACTTAGAACAGCAGTGCTGCCATAAAAACCATAACCAGTGAATGTGCGTCCAACTTATACCTTTATGTAAAATAATTTCTCTCCACCACAGAGGTGCTCAGAGTTTTTCCCTCCCTTCTAAACCAAAGCAGCTCTTTTCTCACTGTTGCACGTCCATTAAGGGCGAGCAGAGCCTTACCGTACCCACATCTCTGACTGCTTTT